GCTAGGATAAAATGGGAGTAGGTCTTAAGATCACTAAATCACTGAGATGATAGAAACCTAAGCCAAATATATATAATACAATACTCACATAATTAGAATAGTTTTTTTCCAAGTTCAGCCCTCTAGAATGCTTACTTAAGTGGCAGCTAAAAATGCTTAGTGTCAAAGGAGGACTCCAAACTTTGAAACACTACACCCTTTCAAAGATTTTATAGGTTTGGAAATACCACTTAATGACTAGGCCTGAGGGAAATGACCTATTAGAAACCATGTCCTGCAGATGAGATTCTCAGACCACACAACAGAGTAGTTAGGTGATGGTGTGGCAGTCCCGGCTTAGAAGAGCATGTTTCACATTTACATTAATTATTGCAAGGTAGCCTGATTACACATTTGCACTTTTGCAGATATTCATTAACTGTCTCTATGAACACTCTCATTTTGCTGACTCGAAAAGTGGAAATATAACCCTCATTTTTAAAAAGGGAAACAAGGAAGACCCAGTCAGTCTCACCCCAGTACACGGCAAGATCACGGAGCAGATACTCCTGGAAACTATGCTAAGTCACAAGAACAATAAGGGGGTGACTGGTGATAGCCAACATGCATTCATAAAGGGCAAATTGTGCCGGACCAGTTTGGTCCCAGTAGGGCCACAGCACTGGTGGATAAGAGAAGAGCAACTGACATCATATACCTGGACTTGTGCAAAGCATTTGACACTGTGCCACACAACATCTTTATCTCTATAAATGCACAACAAGCACATATTTTTAATCATCAGCCAGACAGGTAAGGAACATCTTAATTTCCATTGATTCCAAGTAAATTTCAGGGTGCACTTAACACACATGTTAAGGTGTTCTGCTGCAGAATGGTAACAAATTTAGTTTGAAGAAATAAAACATTGTCTCTGAAATAAAAGTCTTTATCTTTTTTTTGCAGCAAGCCATAATACTCTGCTTCATAAAATCAGTTAGCCCTGCACATTCTTAAAAATTTACTGTGCAGTATGTAGAAAATAAACATAGAAGTGGTACATTGCCGCATGCTCTGCAGAGCTTGTATTGCCAACCAGCAAAAAACCCCATAATTGGATGAAGACTTAGGTTCAAATGAAGGTCAAATGAAACTCACAAATGTGATATGCAAAACTGGCCATAGCCTAATATTAGTTACGGATTCATCCAATTAGGTCTCCTGAGACATTTTGGTTACTCTTAAGTATTACCCAGTTTATGTTAACAAGTGTCAGCATACAGACTGAAATGTTAAACCTGTGTTGAAGTTGCCCATTTGCAATTTGTGCTGTTGTCATCTGCTCAGCTAAGTCATACAAGATTTTTCATTTCCTGACAGAATAACTTAAGCATCGTAAAGAAGGAAAATAACCAGTAACTCACTTTCAAGATTAAATTTCAGATGATTAGCTGTTGGTATTATTAAAAACACTTCCAAAAGTCATTACCATCTTCATGAATGCTTTCTGGATATTGATTGCACATAAATTCAAATATTGACAAATCACTTTCTCTTTTTAAGGTTTATTTTTGTACTTTTCATAAATTACAGCCAAAGGCAACAAAACATCCTGTCAGAAATGTTATGTATTCTGCTTTTTCATTTCTGCCTTTTCAAAGAGATGCTTTCTGCACCACAAACTACTGCTGTGTATTGAGCACTGTGACCTTTATGATTTTGGTTCAACAGAAAGTCAACACTGCTAAGAAGGCAGTTTTGCCTTCAAGGCAAAACCTCTCTAACAACCCAAAATGGATCTTTCAAATGTAATTGAATATAAAAATTCATTTCCATAGGCTTATGACAAAAATGCACTCTAAATTCATAACCAATTTTAGAGTATTTAGCCACTGACAATAAATGCAGAGAAGCTGGCCCATTACTTTCTGGATTTCATACAATGCTAATTCAGGCAAAAGTTTTTTATGTGAAAAGAGACAGCCAACAAGGAGCCCTCTGTTAAGAACAAGCAGAGGGGTAGAGAATAATCAAAGCACATCAGAAACTGAAAAGGCACAGAATATGAGAGAAACCAAGAGTCCATTCCTGCAATCACTAGCCAGCTGTGCACAGGAGGTGCTGGTCCTTTCTTGGTCAGCATGGCATAGCAAGCTCACAGCTACACAACCGACTCCCTCTCTGGGTCTGCACTTTGCCATCACCCCACATCAGCTCACAGAAGGATGTGAATCTTGCTTGTATTAGTAAATTACATTATTTTACCAGTGACACGTCATAGCTTGCCATTATTTATGCATAGTTAAGCCACTGGAAATACTTTTTCAAGTTAAAACTGTTGCTAACAATCAACAGCTTGTTCAGGTCCATCATAGTTGATAGCCTTGGTGTAAGATAATATCAAATCAAAATGGTAATTTTAGGTAAGAAAACATAGTTTGAACTTATAACTCCAAAACTTACAATTTGATAGTCCGGATAAATAGCTAAAGGTTGAACGAGGTACGAGAAAATGAGGCTTTTACGTTTGCTAGGTATCGTTAACATCAGTTCCTGTCCACAGCTACCTTTTGGAAAAAGCTGTGTGGAATGTTGTTCCCATATATTCACAAGATCACTTTGCCAGACAGAAAATTATTTCACAGGAAAGGAAAGGATGTCTTATTGATTCCCTCTCCCCTTTTTTTGTATTTACTTCATCTTCATTACAGGCTTTTCCTTAATTTCCTCTTCCTATAATGCTGCACAGCTAACTCCATAAATAATTCAATCGAGATACTGTATCAGCATACTGAAGTTGATGAAGGCTTGATTTTCTCAACATTTTTGTTTCCATTTTGATTCTTTAACCTAATCCGAGAGTATGACCACCAAGCATTTCCATTTTCACCTTCTCCTCTGCAGCTCCCAAGACAGAAATAAAATGGAGAGGAGGCAGAATAGGAGGGAGGGATTGCTTTTGGTAAAGGTAGCAAATATACCACACAAGCATTATCAGAACTGTTAGCAGTGACAAGCTGGTAAGTGAATCCTCAGGTAATTTTGACTGTGCACATCTCTTTCAAAGGGACACAGCAAAATCCTCCATTACAAGAGCATGAGACAGCGAAAGCCACCTTAAAAAGACTACAGAGTGAATGGATGTCAGGGAAAGAAGGAGGGGAGAAAGAAAAGAGGTGGTCTGTCTCTCACTGTGAATAATCTTCGGTAGATTTACAATCACCATATACATATGTATCTTTTTTTTTTTTTTCCCAACTCAACATTAGCCTCTATAAAAGCAGAAAAGCAGGAAAACTGTACCATTTTTCTCAAAATTGGCATGTTCCCTATTAAGCACAAAGCAACATGCTGTTATTGGTTTTCCAGGTAGCCTTTTATTTTCTACAACTTTCACATTATTATTTACTTAATTATAAACTATTATAATAATCTATAATTATTATATACACATTCTGATTTCAAAAAATATGTAAGGGAATATAATTTACATACCTCAAGTTTATATAATTCACATGTGAACAATATGATATGGAGTACTAAAATAGTAAGTAACATGAAATAGTTCAACACTTGTTATTTTTGGTGCCTTTGGAGTGAGGTGCTAAAAGCTAATTCATTGAATTTTAGAGATTTTTGAAAGGCTTCACAAAAATCTCAAGACCACACATCAGGATAAATAGCAACCTATTTCTACGATTGTGTTAAAACCAATTAATCCTTTTTTACTGAAGAAGGTTGTTGAAGTGTAGACTCTTCAAACTTGTTTCAGTTAGAAAATGTACTATAGAATATGCTGGGGCTTTAAGTTCAGTTTTTCCTTTCTCTGAGAACTGCAACTTAACCTGCAATTGAGCTGACCTAACTGTTTACTGTCACTGAAATGGCATTCCCATCTCGTTGCTTTCCAAATTCAAATTCCTTCTGCTCTTCCTTCTCTCCTTACTCTCTGGTCAGCTCTGTTCCCCGCCCTGTGTTCTGGCTCTGCCACTCACCAAACCCTTTTCCACAAGCTGATTCAACTCACTAAACTGGAAGAGTTCTTCCACCATGCCAGTAATCAATTTCTGTGATTACAGTGATTTAAATCAGTTGATCTGACAGTGATAAAACCCAGAGATACCAGAAGAAGGGAGTTCACAGCAGGCCACAAGAAGGCCTTGCAGAAGCATGCAGCAAATGCTTTTTTCCTGGAGGCTTTTCAGCAGCATTCCCCTATCTAGTTAAAACTGTTTACTGGATGACACATCTCCGCCAAAATTTTGACAGTTTTCTGCAGCTGCTGTCTGTCCAAACCAAAATACTTTGGTCCAATAACTCTGTTATGGACCTGTGCCTCTGTTACGACAAGTATCTGTAATTCAGTATGTGGCACCTGTTTTATACCTAATGAGCCTCACCAAAACTTACTTTCATGACTGGTGACCTACAAATTGCAACACCTGATCTCTACTTAAAACAACGCATGAAAGGAACATCTTTAGTTTGGGCTGCAAAGCAACAGAAAGCCATTGAGAGAAATACATAGATTTAAAAGTAATAATAAAAAAAATCCTGGTTTAAAATACTACTTTAAAAGCAGTCTTTTCTGAATAAATAAATGTAGGATTAAGAAAAAAAACTGCAAGTAGGAACTGCTGACATAAACTGTTAATACTGACACTACCCTTCTGTATATCCAGGGGCTCTGGGAACGTTCCTCCTCTGTTAGAAAGGATGTACACAAGGAAGCACCCCCTGTGTTAGGTTTTTCCTGAGCCGAAGGGGTAAAACTCACCCATGGAGTTTTAAAAGCATTTAAAGGTGTTCATGTTACCTCTGTAAATTAAGGGAAAAGACATGCTTGCTTGCTTGCTTCTTCTGGGACTTCTAGCAGAATTCGAGTTGTGAAAACGATAGCGATTTGACCCGTCTTCTCCCAGCTGTAAAACGATATTTGTGAGAGAACAAGTAATAGAAGGCCTCCCGGAGAAGACAGGACACCTCTCCCAAATTCACATCTCATCCCCAGCCGCACTTACTCTCCTGGATGCGAGGTGCCTCCTCTAGAGCTGCGGCTGCCTACTGAACGGAGGACACTACCCACACCACCTCACAGCGGCAACCGGCGCAAAGGCGGACCAACGACCGCTTCTCCCCTCGCTCCACCGAGACAGGACAGGACAGGACGGCCCTTCCTGCAGGGCTTGGGACTCGCGCTGCAAACAGCCGCAAGGAAAAAAACACCCCTTCCCTTCCCTTCCCTTCCCTTCCCTTCCCTTCCCTTCCCTTCCCTTCCCTTCCCTTCCCTTCCCTTCCCTTCCCTTCCCTCTCCCTTCCCTTCCCTCTCCCTTCCCTCTCCCTTCCCTCCTTCCCTTCCCTCTCCCTTCCCTCTCCCTTCCCTCTCCCTTCCCTCTCCCTTCCCTCTCCCTTCCCTCTCCCTTCCCTCTCCCTTCCCTCTCCCTTCCCTCTCCCTTCCCTCTCCCTTCCCTCTCCCTTCCCTCTCCCTTCCTCTTCCTCTCCCTCTCCCCTGGCAAGAACGAACCCGAGCAACCAATACCCCCTAACTCAGCCGCACAGCCCCCAGAGGGCCCGGAGTAAGGGGAAGTGCGGAGCATAGGACTCCACCCCCGGTCCTCCCAACATCCGGGTTCCTGTCAGCCGGCGGCGCGCCGTCGTCCGCTCCGTGGCTCAGGGAGGCAGAGGAGCAGGGAGGAGGCAGCGAAGATGGCGGCGGCGGGGAGAGCCGGTTCTTTCGGCTCTTCTTCGTCCGGGCTCGGTTCGGTTGCCGGTTTTTCTGCCTCTTCGTCAGCCACTACGGCCACAACCAACAACAACAATGCGGAGCTGCGGGCAGGCTGCGATGAGGACGATGGGCAGAACCTCTGGTAACCGCCCGCCCCGCGGTCAGGCAGCTGGCTTTGCCGCCGTCGGCGCGGCTCCGTGCCCTCCGGGGGAGGTGGGAGGTGGGGTGGTTAATCCCCCCTGCTGGCGCTCGGCCCCTCTCAGTCACTGAGCTGAGGGGCAGGAGGGGCTCCCGCCGTGCCCACACCACACCCCCCCCGCCCAGGAGGTACGGGCAGCGCCCTCCTAAGCGTTGTCTTCTTTCCGCGCCAGGTCGTGCATCCTCAGTGAGGTGTCCACGCGGTCCCGCTCCAAGCTACCTTCGGGGAAGAACGTCCTCCTGCTTGGTGAGGAAAGCATCCTGATCCCTTCCCTGCCGCACGCTGGCTTGCTCCTTCACCCGCTCTTGAGCGTCTGGGGCTTCTCCTTTTTCGTGCTCGAAGGGGGGTGGTGTCGGGACTGTGATGGTGGGGAAGGTGCTGGCTTAACCCTTTAGCTCCTTCCCTTGTATATTTTTCCTTCATTTTGAATATCCAGCATCTAGAGATGCTTTAGATATCCCCTTCGTCATGGGTGCCTCGCCATAATACCCTTACTATCCTCCCCCCACTCTAGCTCCTTAGGTAGACATGGCTTGGAAGGCTGGTTTCTATTGTCTTTCTCCCCTGATGAGTGTTGAGTTCGGGGACCTGTTACGAGACCTTCCCCATTCGTGCAGCTGGTGCTGCCTGCTGGTCCTTAGGGTGTGCCATGCAGACACAAAAACCGCTTCCGTGGCCCCAGCGGTGTCAATGACGGATGCTGCCTGTTGGCCGGAGGGCGGAGTAAACTGTATGGGCGTGTTGGCTGTGTCCTGCCCACACGCACCCAGCTTGTCAGCAGCAATATCATCAGCAAGTTGTGCGACGGCAGCAGCAGCGGCAGCGTTTGGCTGCTGGCTTTTATTGTGTTCTCTTATCTCCAACCAGTGCGTTAGTGCAACCTCGCGTTTGGCAGAGTTAGGAGTAGCAGAATGGGACTTTGGTAAGACAATAATGAGAGACACAGCTATTTTTCAATGTTGAGAAGGAAAGAGAAGTAATGATTATGTCAAGCAAAATCAAAAACTCTGTGGAGGAGGGGGAGAAATGGATGCTCCCAAGTGTATGTGTGTTAATTACTACTATATATATGTCTGAAAGACTAGTAAACAATACTACCAGTAGACAATTCAACCTCCCTGTCCCCAGCAAGAGTTATGAATTGTTAGTATTTGGAAATCTGCCTAAAACCCAGTAAAGATATTCATGTGGACCCTATGCACACTATGATTCTGTGTAGTCGTGTGGTTTATACCCTTTTGAGGTTTTTAAGTTAGGTTTTTTTCCTCCATAATCCTAAAGCAATCACTGTGACTCTTTTCATCCAGTTTTGATAAGCTGAGTGACTTAAAACTGACCATGATGAAGAAGACTGTACAAGGGTGGTGGGATGGTTTAGTGAATCTGTTACAGGACTTGCTAGCCTTTAATTTGTTGGCCTTTATGTTACATGATTAAGTAGGATATTGAGATTGGAAGTTCTGTTGGTATTAAAGAAAGGAAAGATTTCATAACCATTGACAGATTTTATGTGATATTTTGAAATTAACTTGGATAATTGTCCTTGTTGAAGTTGGAAGATTCTTCTTAAAACTGCAAACCTTGACAAGAGTATGCTCTTGTCATACAGAGATATATACAGAGAGAGAACTCTGTAGTCAGGCAATCCTTAGTACTCAGTAACTTAAGACCATGCTTCCTTCAGCACTAGAGGCAGTACAGACCATAGAATACTTCTAAATGCTTATTTAGTTTGTGATGTTTAATTTGTTCTATAGAAAAAATTCTTTTTACCTGTTTATATAGAGCTTACAGAGTTATTTCCTTTAATTTTTTTTTCTTTTTTGATGCATTTTTTAAAAAGACTGGCAGATTTGTAGAAGAAATTCTGTTTCTTTCTCAGGAATCACATTTTTTAGAAGTCCACAGTCCAAGGGAGAAAAAACAGTTTGTCATGTGTTTAGGGGAAAAATCATCAGATGTGAGAACTGGCCAGTAAGGACCATGGCTGTGTTCTTTGTGAAGATACCTAATCCATGTGCTACACTTTGCTGCTCACTTACAAATCCTGGTGCTGCTCCTGAAGCACACTGGGACAGGAAGATGAGAGCTCTTACGTATTCTGTGTTGGACAGATCCAGTATGTGAAGTTCTGTCTCTTCAGGCTCTTGAGCTGTGTGTTTGCAACTTTTGTTACCTCACATTTCTGCTGTTTCTAAGCTCTCTTCCTTTAGTTTGTGCTGGCTTTTGTTGTTAACATAGATCACTTCTTGCCATGACTATTTTTAGTTTCGTTGTTCTTGGAATACTTTTAAGCAGGAGTTGTAAAGCTGGCCGGGGTCTTGATGGTTTTAGCTGGTTTTGTGGTAGGTAAACATTTGCAGTATAAACAGTTATATTGGTCAAACTTCCCAGCTGAAACATGAGATGTAGTGATAAATGAGTGCTTATTTTCAATACAAACTGCATTAAACAAAGAAAATCCTCTAGGCCTTCAACACACCTCACCACACCCCTGTCCAAAGTCAAACCCCACAGAAATACCAACCAGAAAACCCCATCATTTGTAGTTTTTTTGTTTGCTAGGGCAAGTTTTCTAATTTGCCTACAGAATTTATATTTTTCAAACCCTTCATGTACTCGTATGCCCAGTTGTTCGGGAACCTAGCTGTGTCTGGCATGCTAATTCTGTTATTTCAGTCTTTATTTTTCAGCTATGTTAACATCACATTTTTAAGAACCTGGTGTGGTGGTTTAAGCCCAGCCCGTAACTCAGAACCATGTAGCCACTCACTCACTTCCCCCTCCCCCCACTCCCCAGAGAGCTTAACCCAGGCCACCTGGAAAGCAATTCAAGACATCGCAGAAATAACTGAAGGAAACTGGAATGCCAAATATTAATCTCTAGATATGGCATATAGTTTTGTGAAATGAAGGTTAATGTCTAATTCTGGCAATTCTCTGCTCAAAATCAGCCCCCCCAATTAATTAACTTACAGTTCTACTTCTCCAAATTGTTTCACTTATAGGTATTTCTTCAATACTATTTTCGTATGAAGACTTTAAACTTTGATTGGCACCATGTGTAGCATAAAAGGATTTTTCTGTTCTTGTATGAACAGATAATAGAAATGCAAGCTTTCCTAACTTTTCTGTAAGGCAGGGATGCTCTGATTCCTGGGTAGCTTTTCATAGTGACCATATCTACCTCATTTAGTAAACTATTCCAGCAGAAAATTTAAGGTGCTTTCTTAAGGAAATTAGGTGCTCTCAGTAACATTTCTAGCTGGTTTTTTTACAGATAGCCAAAGAGTGTGGCTTTCTTCTTGTTGCTGGGTTGTGTTTGGTTTTCTCTTTTTTTTCTCCTGGACTGTCTCCCCTTCTCACTTGTGTAACAAAGGTAGCTGATCAGATGAGATGCTTTGTGCTGAGCTTCATGAGAAAACTGATGCTTATAACTGGAACCTTTCTTGTTCATTCCCTTGCTGATGTGTCTGAACCAGCAAGTAGAATAGAGGGAGCAGCTAAAAAGTTGTCATTGCAGGTTATGGATGGAATCCATCATGCTTGGAGGCTTAGATGCAGAGGTTCGAGCTAGTCATTTATGCAGTAAACTGCAGCATGCATTCAAGCAGTGATGGTCAAAGTCGTTCAGGCTGCACAAGAAAACAGGCTCCCAGCGTGCATGTGAGTAGTTGCTTTCTATCTGGCTCTGTATTTCATTCACTCCTCTCTCTGAAGCATAGTAGATTCTTGGCCTGAAATTCTAATGATGTCAAACATGGTGACACATGTATACCTGACTGCAAGTGCACACTTATGCTTCTACTGCATCACCAGCATTTTGGTTTTATTCACGCATTTTACCTCACTTGATGACAAAGACTTTGAGTTTAGAGGGCAGTAAGCATTCAACTGCCTTGTGTCCGTGTTTTCTGTTGACCCCAGACATCTCAGTCTTCAGGGCCAGGCCTGTTTATTTGAATCTTTGAGCTCTGCTCCTGTCCAGTAACTGTCAGGATGCCGGAGAAGAAGTTTTCACAATCTACAGCTAATTTACAGATACACTTTTCTATGTGTACGTGTATTGGGAATGGCTGTTGCTGTAGAAAAATGGTGCATCTTGAAGAGCAGTTTTAGCTTGCTGCTTTCTTTTAGTGGACACATGCAATATAGTGAACTTCAAAATTAAGTTCTGATACACCATGAGAGTATATACAATCAATATAAAAGCTGCTTGCTTAACTTTGTACTCAACACTAGGAAAAGTAAATTTTCCTCTTTATTTTTCCAATTGGTATAGCTGAAAGTTTTCCTGTGATCATTTTGTCATTACAGCTGATGACACTGTTGATATTATTCATCCCAAATTACAGTCTGTTGATCCTGTCCATATTGTTCATCCCAAATGTTCCTTAATTCTCTAGTACTGCAGAAGTCAGATTTTTTTCCTCTTCTTGCTACTTCTTCACCTTCTACAGGCTATGAAAGGCTTCCAAATATAGCCAAATTATGTTTCAATCAGCAGAGTTATGCTGCGAAAGTGTCAATTGTTTTGATGGTGCATTGACCTAGATAAAATTCTATTTTGCTTGTTTTGCAGTTATGTTTGTTTAGAACTAAGTAGTGCTTCTTCATAATATCCTTCCTACTGGAATACCTTTCCAAAAAGCCAGAGTTGCATGGATGTTGTGTAGTAAAACTTACTTAGCACAGTTATTGAATTGCATTTACTTTAATTTGCCTCTGCTTTGCCAGAGGTGCTGATGATTACTGGGTATTTCTCTGAAATAGCTCCAAAGGTGAGGAATAGTGGAAGGAATTGTGCTTCTGTGTTTTCCAGTCAGGTTACTGGCAGAAGTACCAATAAAGATGTCCCTTTAATAGCAACACAGGACTATTCTGTTTTGGTAGCAAACATGGACAAAATACACTGGATCATTTACTGCTGTGTAAAAGGAAAGAGATGTATGCTGTTCATATTCTCTGCAACATTTGGTTTTCTCTGTCTGTGGGTTTCTCCAAGCATAAGTAACACTGTTACTCCTGTACCTGTTTTCACAGTCAGACTGTGTATTCTTGTGGTGAGGACTTGACAAAAGGCATGCTGGAACAGCTGTTTTCAGTCTGCTTTCTATCATGTTGTAATGCAGAAGGGCAATTAAGGTGCTCTTTGGAAAAGTAATTTCATCTTTCAGTGCTATAAAGTTACCAAATAAATCACATGTGAGGGCAAAGACTTACCTGGTAGAGTAAAACAAACTTAGAGGAGGAGAAGTTTTTTTGTCCAATGAGTAAATCATAATTTAATGACAAGTTATTTGAGGATTTAATATGACCTCCTTATTGTGAACTTCCATGTTGTTTGGAGGGATTGTAGAGAAGGATCACATCAGCATAATTAATTTTGTTCTTCAGTTCTCTGAAAGCAAACTTATTTTGACTTACCCCAATTATTTGGGCTTTATTCTGCAAAAGGCAGTCTTCGGTTAGTATAGTATGTGTAAACAAGTCTCTCCCACTAATGTGTGGCTGAGTAGAGGGTTATTAACTTCTCACAAGTTATTAACTTCTTATTAATCACAGTTATTAACTTGTAAGAAGTATTTTATATTGAAAATAACTGTAGTACATATGCATTTGGTTCTGGTAGGAAGAAGGCTGTTACATTTCCACTCTACTGCATTAGGATTCAGACATTCCACATGGTGCAGAATAGAGACTACTCTCTGATTCTGAGAAGGCAGAATTATGTCTGTCCTGGAGGTAACACAATGATTAATTTCATATACAGACTTCTTTGAGAAGTAAGAAATGTCTTGGTTTAAGACAAGTGAAAATCTACTTGTTTTCATTTTCTAAACTGAAAGAAATATGGAAATAGCATGAGTAGTAAATATTCTTAGTTTTAAAATGTTCAGTTGGAAGTTTAGCAAAGTTCTGTAACGGAGAGCCTAACTTCTCTCTAACGTAATAATTTATGGTTGAACAGTTCAAGTAGCAGTTCATAGATAAGGGCCTGCTTGCCTGCATTCACAGAAGGCAATTCATCCACCTCATTGCACCTTCCCATCTGTGGGCGCCCGTTTTGCTAGATTTGCTATTGTAGCAGAACATTCAGTGATACTCCATTTTCTGTCTCAATAAACATGCCTGGAGTAGTGAGAAGGAAGGAGGCTGGGCAGGCTTTTGTATTATGGCTTCAGATATCTTTGAGGGCAGCAACAAGAAGGATGTCATCAAACTCTTTTGTAGGCAGAGCAGCACCTTTGACAGAGAAGGCTTGACAACCACTGCCCCAAACTTGAGCTCCTCAGAGAGGTGAAGTGTAGCAGCATGAGGATAACAATGAAACAGCTTTTTTTTTCAGTCAAGTATAAGACTTTCCATTTTGTTAAAAAGATGGTAAAATACTGTGTGTAAGCAGATTGGTTTGGCTTTGTTTCAACTGCTTCCTAGCCTGGCTTTTCTGCAAAATTTAATCTGTTGTCCCTCTTTTACTTGTCTTCAGCTTTGTTATGATACTTGTAGCAAGCAGTGCTACACATCTGCTTCCTCACTGTTGTATTAATTTGTGAGTGCAGTTTAATGTAATGAGGAATTTTAGTTCTTTAGGATTTACCCTGGAAGAGGAGGACCTTGTATGTTACTTGCAAAGGAAGTATTCAGGATCTTAAATGCGCATCGAGCTACTTGATTTTTATTCTACTTTGCTATTCTATATTTAAAACCATGTGTAAGAAATGCTTTGCTCTGTAAGCTTATGTACGGAAGTCAGTTGTTAATTTGATTGTCACACAGTTAGAAATAAAGAAGCAGCTAAAGGATTTTCCATCTCAGTTTTGGAGGAAAGAGGAGGATGATGATGACTCTTTCTGAAGGTGCATGAGGCTCTGTTAGATAATTGCTTCAGTAGCACTTAAAAATAATTCTGTTCCATAATTTTAACATGCAGTGATGTTCAGATCTGGGGAATATGAATCGCAGAATCATTAGGGTTAGAAGAGATCTCTGGAGATCATCTAGTCCAACCCCCCTGCCGAGCCCGGGCCACCCAGAGCAGGGGCACACTGCCAGCTCATAGTCAACTTGTCATTAACTAATACTCCCAGCTCCTTCTCAGCTGAACTGCTCTCTAGTAGGTCGGCCCCTAACCTGTACTGGTACCTGGGGTTCTTTCCTCCCTAGGTGCAGTACCCTACACTCACCCTTGTTGAATCTCATTAGGTTTCTTTCTGCCCAGTTCTCCAGACTGCTGAATGACAGCACAGCCTTCAGGTGTATCAGCTGGATACCAATACATTTGCAGCTATCACAATTTCAAATGCTATCTGCAAGACACTAAAAATGGAAAGTAGAGGTGGATGGAACCTCAAGTCTTTGCAAGTTCTCTCAGCCAAGGCAGTCATCTTTTC